GAGGAGAAGCAGGGAGGAGGAAGGCGCACGGCCGTCTTCCTCCATCGGAGCTTCCCCTCACTGCGACAAAATGGACGGCGGGAGCGCGCCCCTGCGGGAGCCGGGAGGAGCCTGGTCCATTTTTAGCCTTTCGAGAAGAACCTGTGGAAAAATCTACTCTCTCAGGGCCTTAGTTGTCTTTAAAAGTCGTAGTTGACTTTAAAATACACTCGCTTTTCTGTAAAAGGGAGACTGGCAGCCTGCAGCGCAGGGAGGGTGGTTTGCTGCAGGTTGTGACAAGAAGGAGCCTCCGAGCAGGACGAGCTCAGGAGCCCGTCAGCCCACGGCAGCAGCGCCTCAAGTTTTTCCCGATTTTGCAGACCTGCCTACACCGCATTGAGCCTCCTCTCCTCTCCTTTGCCATGCATGCATCACGGGAGCCGCCTTGCTCTAGCTCACGTAAATCCCAGGTATCCCCACAAAAGATACACTCGGCTTTCACTGTTACCATCCTAAGGCATCCATAGGGCAACTAAGTTCCCTGGGAACAAGCCACCAAAAGATGAAAATGCAATTCCTTCTCCACACTGGTGATAAACAAACAAACCCCCCTGCTTTCTTGCCTAATCACTCATCTAGTAGAAAAGCCTGTTTAGTTACTCATTTTCTGAAGTGCATGCAGGGGATTTTTGCCAGGAATCCTGGCTTAATCCCAAAGTAAAAACAGTACTATGTCTAGGCTCTGGAGGAGCAGCAGCTTTTTAAAACTGCTTGAACAAGTAGCAAGTTCCAGAGACCAAAGCAGCGTCTTGAAAGAACAGTGTTAGGCACATCCAGTCAATGTTTATCAAGAACAACATGTAAACAGGCTCCTGATTTTCAGTTTTGTTTCATAAGACTTAGACTAGCATAGCTAAACTACGCCCGAATGGTACCAGTTTATATCATATGCAAAACCCCAGCACTCCCTTCTGTGTTAAACTCACCTGGAAACATTGAGTGAACTCACACACCACTTCTGAGCTTTTCATAAGTGTCCGTCCTCCATACATGGAAAATGCACAATTCTGCAGAAGGTTTTCAGTTAATGCAGATATAGCAGAAGCAAACCATTGCCTCTTACTCCATTCCTTAGGCAATAGAGCCTTCTCTGCTGAACAGCTGTACATACTGAAAGTAATCCAATACAATAGTCCGAATTTATTTGAAATAATTCAGTTTGAAAACTTTAATTTAAAATTTACAGCACACATGGGGAAGAAACATGTTTTGTTACAACTAAAAGTTATCAGAAGAGTGCTGCAGGGTTGTTTTCTTTAATTTAACACTGTCATGGCTTTATTCAAAACACAGTTGCACAAAATCAGTTACTCCAAAGTTTAAGGAAAGAGTTTGATAAGGAACTGAAACACACTATATACATACTGCCATACAAAGAGCATTAAAATAGGACAAAACCTCTACAAAATATAAAACCCACCCTTACATATTTGCATGAAAAGACCACCCACCAAGCAAAAAGGTTTCAAAAGTTATCTGGAGGCTCTGTATTACTTCTTAAAAATGCTCTGCTGTTTAATTGCATGCCAAGCTGACAAATATGAAGCTCTATTTAGATGGTAACACTGAGGGGGAAAAAAAAGACAAGGTTACTTAGGAAGTAAGTTCTGTGTGAGGCTCAGATTTTTAGATGTAGTGGCTGATGCACTACACTGCAAGCTGTATTTAGGAAGCATTAATTCCATCTTCGGGAAGGTCTGACTCTATCTACTTACCCAATGTTAAACCTGGACTTGTTCACTGAAGTCTAACTGCAATCTGTCAAAATAATATTCTTTTCCATTTCAAACTAACTCAATGTGATGCATCAGTACAAGATAGTTAAGGAAAAACCTGATAATGAGGTACTCAGAAGTACATGTTTATAAATAATGTGTGTCACTCATTCACTGAGACTACAAAATAAGCAAAAACATGGGAAAAACACCTTACTATCTCCAAGCTGAACACAAAGCAACTGCCTTGAACACAGAGCCTCCACGACAAAATAGGGTGTGCACTTACCTAAGTTTTCTATTCATTCAGTATTCACACACAAACACAGGAACTTAGATTGTGGTTGCAAATGTAGTTTCACCACTACTTTTCTAGTGTCTTTACAGATACTCATTAAAATAATAAAAAGAAAGGTCAAACCCATTTTGTCAGTTGATTTCTACATATATTGCCATCTGCCAGACACGTTTCAATTCAAATGCCTTTGATGGCTGGCTATGCTTTACAACTACATGAGAAACTAGGATTTAAGGCTCTATTTGGGGAAAAAAAAAAAACAAAAACACCACACACAAGAAACTGGGCATTGCAGAACTTCAACCCTGCAGTATCTAAACTTGATTTACGAGCTGGAAGTTGCATTTAAAGTCTGCTAGTGTGTGAAATGCCTTAATATCCACAGGTAACTGATCTGTGGGTGACTGGCTCTTTTACCTAGGTCCAAAAAATCTCCTCCTTCCCCACCCTTGGTGTCTCCCCCCAGTTTAGTGACAGCTATTGTCAGCCAAGACAGATAAAAAAATAAGTCTCTTGAATAAAGCTGTGTGATATTTGGTTCAGTACCTACGTGAAACAGTGTAGATTAGCTTTTAATCAGCACTACTGTTTTCAATCCAAATCATGACTGAAAGAGGAATGCTCTATGCTGGAACTTGTTTTGCAGCAGCTCAAATGCAACACGTGGATCCACTGGGGCAGAATTGAGAGCTGTTGGTCACAACCAGGCTGCTGGAAAAAAGCCTGTCTGAATGTTGCCTGTACTCACCACCAGCTGTATGTAACCAAACAAGTTCCTGCAGCCGTTCAATATAAAAAAATGCCCCTATACTATTAATTAGTATGTACATTAACTTGAATGTTTTACCTACAAGCAGATTTTAAAAGTTCAAAAGGAGAGCTGCAAAGAAAGACCCAACTTAAAGTTATCTTCCCCCCTTCAATGATTCTACAAAAGTGGGTATTTTTGTTTGGAAAAGTGTGCTTGAAGGAGTTACCCGTTAATTTTTGCATTAGAAATGCATATAGCCAAACACTGCAATGGCTGCAGAATTACTGAAACGACAACGTAGGAGCTAGGGAAGTGAAAGCTGAACAAAGACTTTTAACAAAACAGTAAATAATCCATAGTTTTTAACAGTTAATACCTGCAATGACTCTGTATTTTGGAGAAAAGTTTAAGGATTGTGACCCTTTCAGTTTGCCAAGATACCTTCAAGGATGTATCTAGTGAATGCTCCAGCAAACATTGAACTTCTGAACATGCAGAAAAAAAAAGTGTTTTGAAACCTGCTTAAGCTTTGCAATGTAACACACAAAATGGGAGGGAAGACCAAAAAAATACAGAAATCACATTCTAAAAAGCTGAAATAAAGATCTAATCTACTTGTTGATTTCAAATGGAATCCCTGGTAAACTCAGGCTATGACCAAACTTCTCATTTGAGGCAGCCTTGAGTTTGTCATATAGCATTTCTGACTTGAGCTTTTTCCGTATAAAAACTTTAAAATCTTGAAAGAAATCCACAATACTAAACCAATGTAAAGTGAATGTTGTAACTCCAGGCTAATGATGACCAACACAGCAAGCTTGTATAAAATTAAAGAGCTCCAAATAAAATTCTAGGGGAAAAGTGACAATGGCTTCAGTGATTATAGGGCTGGAAACTGTTTTCTACACATAGGTTCACTAACAGGCTATTATATCTTATTTGGAATGATAAAAAGGGCAAGAATAGTAAAACCACACTTTTCCTATAAAAAGTTAACATATCTTCTGTAGGGACATCTATGGTACATGGAGACATACAGATCTGCATAATCACTATTGCGTATTCTGTAACTTAAGAGTCTGGTCCTACTCGTGTCTCTAACAAATTAATCATCCTCTTCCTCGCCTTCATCTTCAGGGTCTCGTTTCCTCTTCTCCCCTCGAATACCCTCTGCTAAGGAAAGCAGACATGCATACAGTTCATTATTTTCTGTTCGGATATCAAATGTTAAGACATTTAAAAAAAGAAACAAATAAGATTTCTCCTTACTTTTAGTTACTAGCACTAACATGTTTGTGTGACTTACGGCTCTCAAAAAAAGATCAGTTTACATTACTGTGAATAATTCATGCAGACCATATTAAACTAAATACAAACTAAGCATGTGACATTCCATACAGAAATTACCAATATGAAGTGCATTTATGTGCTTCTGAATTTAATGCTATGTGTGCTATAATTTAACATAGATTGTAGAACTAAAATGATGTTTTTGTGTTTCCTTTAGTTTCTGGAACCCCCAAACTAGAAATCTAAGTTTCTGCAACAACCAAATTAAATACACTGCATTCTCTCCCCAATTAAAAAGCTACTCTAAGCCTCTTGCATGAAAAAAAAAAAAAATCAGCTTATTCCTAGAAATACACTTAATCAAGTCAGGGGACTATGCGCTCTTGTGGCAAAACCATGAATTGCAATTTGGCCAAATACAGTAATTTATTTTCCAGCAGTCATTTCCTGGCTAATTAGCTGTTGCAACTTGCAACGGACTCCAGTGTAATGCAGGCCTCCACAATTAGCCATCCCGATTGCCTTTGTTGCCTTAATAGATTTGTATGCTGCATTTGGTAGAGGGAAGAATCTGCACCACTAGTTCAAAACTGCAGTTTGTCAAGGGCAAGAAAAATCTCCCAAACCTACTCCATTAAGCCAAGCATCCAGATCAGAGAGCTTACTAGCCTAGTGAGAATTACTAGAAATTCTTGAATTTGCTTAGTTTATACAGACGTGGAAGCAGGCAGAATGACCCCCCCAGAACTCAAAGTTTTGCTGCTATGAATAGCCTTAAGATTGGGACAGAGTTCCTAATCATTAGACAAGTTCATTGACAGTGGCCTAAAAAGCAACAACAAATTTTACTAATAGAGTGACTTTTGTTCTGGTGATTCCGAACAGACTCAGATCTTCAAACCAAACTGTGATTCCTGCCCTGAAGGCTTGAAAAGCTCAAAAAAGGTGAAGGAAAAAAAAAAAAAAAGTACTGTGTTTGACCTGTTCATTTTATTACAGTTCTCTTAATCACAAAAAGATAAAGAAGTTGCTGTATGGGGGGGAAAAATACTCAAGTAACCCGCTTGTGTGCAGAGAACTTCACATTCTGGAAAATATCAAGGAGAAACTATCACTCTCCAAGAACACCACTGCTTCCACAGCAGGTTTACATATTTAATACATGATACCTCCTAAAACAAGATAAACCATCATCTTCATTATCCATTATTCCCTTACTGGAGAAGCCACTTTCAGCCCCTGCTGTATTAAATAAGGTGTTTTAAATATATGTAAATTATAATGGAAAAGTACACAGAGGAGTGCCTTTCCTCTCTACGTTGGTGAATTAACATTTCTGCCTGTGTAGACGATCCAGTTTCTTTCATCTTAGAAAACTGCTTCAACAAAAGACTTGGAGAGCTGTCATTTCTTCTGTATTTTTAATTTTACAAGTAGACAAAAATACCAAATACTGCAGTTACTTTATTACCTGCTTGACTTGAATTCTTGCTTAAAACCATTCTAAAATACTTAACATACCTCCCAAGACAAATCACCTAGGCAGTGATCAAGAATCAAGTGTTTTAGCCACAGCTTTAATACTCAGCAGAGAGCTTACCTTCCTCCTCCTCGTCACCTCCTTCTTCAACGTAGTCGTCATCGTCGTCTTCATCCTTTACAAAAATGTGCAATTATTTTAAATATTGTAGCATACTGAGTTTTGGTTAAATGCTGATCCTGAGCAGAAGTTCAAAATCCCACTTTTACACTCAACGTACCAAATGCAATCGTTAACGCTTTCATGTTTCTATCCGACATCCACCCATAGTTCCAACACAGGAACCAAAAACACCCTGGATTAATCCAGGGCAATGAGAATGGGGCATGATTTCACTTCCCAAAATGCAGGAGAAAGTCAGCAGACTAAAATTCAAGCATGTTTCCTTCACCTTGACCACCATCTGTTCCTTACAAACTCAGTATCAGCTTTTGCTGCACCATCATCAGAAGTGCCATGGTTTTAAACACCTTTAAAATACAGTCACAGCTGGGTGACTCACAAACCTAGAGAAGACAGCGACCCAAACAAGCACCAGCTAAAAGAACTGGTGGACAAAACAAAACGAGGAACACAAAAGAGTTTAGTTGTAGGGTTTTTGCACATTTGTGTGGAATTCAGCTGATAATGTAGTAAACTCTTATGAAGAATTACAGTAATGGGAGTGATGGCCACTTTATTTTCAGAAGGGAAACGCCAGGGCTGCTTGCAAAGAGAATTACACACAAAATCCACACCTTGCATTGTCTTATTAGAAATCTCTCTTATTAGAAACCCTTCTAGTTGTCAAATGGAGAGGACTAAGATTAGGACTCCCTAGATTTTCTCTGTGCAATAATAATTTAAGCACAGCTAGCTTATTTCTATAAGAATCCATTCACAACTTGCTGCTACTTCTTTCTCTCCATTCCCCCGATCAAGGTATTTTCTTCTCTTCTCCAAAAGATAATCTACAAAACATACATTTCTATTCTGACAGACTAATTTGTAGCAGTGCAGTTTCAAAATGCTGGGGGAACACTGCTTTGTTTGCTTATAGAGAGAAGAGCCTAAGTATGCTGCAACATTTAAGAGTGGGATAGAAATGAATCATGTCTTGGAAGTTGGCCAGAAGCACCTCCGTCGTTCAAAGCCATCGCTCATGTTCAAGCCAATGTTTTATATTTCAGGAACAGCGAAGGCCTCTCTAAAACATCCTTTTGTGTACATATCCTGTATATATGTCCTGCACACATACAGGCTGATAATGCTCAGTGTTTATATGTTTAAGTTAAAACACAGATCTGTAGGAAGTTTCTCTTCGTTTCTTGGATTCAGCAAAATTGACCAACTTTACCTGGATTCCCTCTTTCATCAGATACGAAAGACCGACTTCCTCCTCCTCTTCTCCTTCCCCCAAATCAGAACCTCCATCATCTTCATCATCTTCCTCTTCATACTCCCCTGGTGGACCAGCTTCACCCTCATCTTCATTGTCATCATCTTCATCACCTTCTGAATACAAGAAGAGACACTCCTATTACGTACAGCTAAAGGTTTAAGTTCCTCTTCATGTAAGTTTGCAAATGCTAGCTTAAGCTAATTAAGACAGTTTATCTAACAGAGTTGTTAATGTAAACAATACATAGGAAACAAGCAGGATTTTAAGTTAACTTTTATCATTTTTCCCCCATGAAGAGAGGCTTTAGGCAAAGTTCTCAACATGCAACACAACTACTTATGCTAACTCCTGCAAGGGACCTGAAGGCACCAGCAGAGGGGAGAGGCCTCCCTGCAGAATCAAACCCTGAAACTTTTAAGGGCAAAACCAGCTCAACATACTACAGTCATCTATTTTTTAATCACTTTTCAGAACTCTGGAAAACCTACAGTTCAGAGCAGACCACCTTGCATTTTATTTCTGTGTCTGGAGCGTATAATCACTCTCAGATCCAACCCAAATCAAGTTGGTAACACTTTCCATAGGCAAAAAAATAAAGTTATAGTTTTCCTATGGAATAGTGGGAGGAGCCCCCTTGCTTCATATCATTCAGTAGGGGCAAGTGCTCTGCTAGTGGCAGTAACTTACTTGCAGAATATTTACATCTTTGTAAGAATAGCTTCTCCCACATTTCCTTACGCTTAAAAGGCTTCTGTAAGAACACTCAACTGGGGTTTTCCTACTGTATTACAGTATTTCAATAGTGGATGTGTTTGAGAAGTCTGCGCTTGAAAAAATAAGAGCACAATAGTGTGCTAGTGCATTCAAGGAGCTGCTCTAGCCCATCTGTATCACAGGATACTATTTCTAGCTACAGTTCATTTCAGGAAGTTACCCTCATCATCCTCAGAGTCCGGTGCTTCATTATCTTCCTGATCAAACCCATCTAGGTAGGTGATTTGCTGCAGCAGCTCAAAAATGCTGTCTCTGTAGTCCTCGAGGTTTGTAATCTCACAGTTGAACAGGTCGAGGCTCTTCAAGTTTTTAAGATTTTGCTGAAAAACAGACACAAAGTTTCTTTTCTCCTCCTCATTGACGCGACCGCGTGGTGCTTGGGAAGCATCACGCACCTGCTGCTTTGGATTGCATAAAAATTTAACTCCAGCTCCTTGCAGCACATGGCTGGACAAATTCAACAACAGGCATCTCATGGAGAGCAAGCAGGAGACATTTCCAAGGACAGCATTCTCCAAAACTTGCTTTTCAAATAATAAAAGCTAGAGAATTGCCCATTCTTACCTTTCTAGGCTTTGCATATAACAGAAAACCCCACGTGCACACCCTAGCAGGCACCCAACATCTAATAGAAGTGTTTCATCTATAGAGCATTATAACTACTTTACTTGCTCTCCCCTGGGTCATAGTGCTGCGAAAGCAGATAGAGAGTATCTATGAGCAGACCTAAAAATAAGTAGACTAAAAAGTCCTAAAAAAGACCATTTAGCTGGCAAGATGGGTGCAAAACCCAGACCTGGTAATGACAGATATTAGCAGCTTCCCATTGCTTTCCAGGCAGGCTCCTAAACAACTGCCCCATACACACATCCTCATCACTTTGCAGTTTTAATAAAAGCTTAAGCGGTCGCTTATTAGACAAATTATACTTTAACCAGTGAACACAGAGGATCAGCGATACAAAACTGGGCCAGTTTTGTATCAAAGACAAAACAGAAGTTCAAAAATGCCTTATTCAGTACATCCCGTTACTAATGCAGGAAGAATTTTACAATGGGGCATTTACAAGTGGTGTCTCCAATAACCACGAGCTTGAGTTAATCGAGTCAGAACTAACTGGAATCCCGACAAACCTACCACACCACATAATCGATTCTTCCTGAACTGTCCAGAGAGAAAATACAGAATATAGGGAAGAAAAAATTTTGATTTTTCACGATTTCAATCGTGCTGAAAAGGGATAGAAGCAGGTAAAACCCATATGACATTATACCTTTGTATCTGCTTATTCCCTATATAACATTAGCTTAAACCACAGTCTTCTATCCAGCTTTTAAGGACATTTTATGCACAGTCCTGGCAGCGATGCCTGTACCATTGCTGCAAAAATCTATTCATTCTTCCTTACGAAAATATTTATTAGATGTAAATTTCCAATTAGTGCCACCACCTCATACTTACAAGAGCTTCCACAGTGCCAAGATCTTTGATTTTGTTGCCACTTAGATTTAAATACGTGAGATTTGGACATCTTTCTGCGAGGACCTCCAAGCCTCCGGAAATTATGTTGTCGCTCAATTCCAGCTATCACACAGAAAGAATTATGTAGTTAAATGGTTGCATCCTCCCTATCAGATTCAGACAACTTCATTTTTCAATATTCTCCCCTCTAACTCTGCAGTTTAGTCACACGAGAAGTCAGCACACAGTTGTGTTAATGGGCACTTTCACAGCCAGGAAGTTCCTCTAAGTTTGCTATGAAACTTTAAGGAGTATTTCATAATTCTCATGGTTTTTGACACCTAAACTGTAGTTTAGTCGAACACATAAGACCGGAATTCACTGCGAGATGTTATTTTGTCAGCAACCTGCAAACACACTTCAGTGTCCAAAGGAAAAACACACATATCAACCATTAGCATCCAGAAAGACACGAGCGACCTTCCCATTTGTGACAAACAAGCATCAAGTGTTCTGCGAGTCGTTAACCACAAGTAATTCGGACATAATTAACTAGAGATGCCCAAAACCATTTTACGTCTCCCCAAAACACCTCCCAGTCTGGCATGGTGCTCCCCAAACGCTTCCAGCGGGACGCAAACGAGGTGGGAGATGCCAAGATTCCCGGGATTCGGTGCCCGGCGCCGTTCCGCGGTACCTTTCGGAGCTTGCTCAGCGTGGGGAGTTTGGCTAGCGACGTCAGCTCCACGCTGGCCATGCTCAGGAACTCCAGCTCTTTGAAGGAATCGTTCAGCCCTTCTATCTCGCCGTTGCTGGATCGGCAGTTGTCGAGCACCAGCTCCGTCACCTTTGGAGAGGACATAAAGCCACTTGTTTAATGCGCGTCGCTGAAGCAACTCAGACACACCTGGATTGTGCTTCATTTAAACCAGAATTGCAGTTATTTGGGGTCGGAAGGCGCAGAGCTACCTCTTTTTGAGCAGCATGCAACAGTTCCCCTTCTCCAGGGCGTTTCGAACGCTGCAAAACGTGGACATTCCCAAAGGAAACTCGAGCATCCCAACGCTGCCCCACAACGCGGTGGAGCAGCACAAACACCACAAACACACACAGGACCTGACAGCTCAGCAAATACAACGCGCCGGTTCCAGCAAAGCCCCGATCGCACCGGGAGCAACGAGCACCAACGGGTAATTCCGGTGGCTGAGACTCATTTACAGAGGAAAAACTTCCTCTCCATCAGTTTGTGTTCCCTTATATACCCAAACCATCACCCTGCACACCCCAATCCTTCCCCAAGTCCTAATAATTGCGCGCGATCCAATATCGAACATTTATTTCTGAAGCCTCTTTTAGGGTTAAGCAGGTTAATTCAGCACAACAAAATAACCTCCTTTTGCCCCCGAAACGCGTGATCCAAGAAGACCTCATGCTTTGAGACAAGGAGCATCCAATCAACTTTATATTATTTTATGTACCGTGGAGCACCCTACGCGCAGCAAAGGCTGTTAACGTGACTCCAGCTTCCCCCCCGCGTGCTTTTAAACACGATTTTAAAGGCACTTTCCCGCGTCATGGGGGGAAACAGCATTTAAACTCGTGGCCGATTTGTCAGCTTCGCAGAAAAGTCCTGATATTTTGTGTTTTCTTCAAAAAAAGAAATGCAAAGAGGCTTAGAAATGAATAATTAAACAAACAAACTTCCCCAGGGAGCAATGGGAGCATCCTCAAGCCTAAAAGTGTAACCAGGCCTTTTAGAAGGACCTGCCACAGATTCGGGAAGCGCACGCCGGAATTGGGAATTTTGGCCCCGTTTTCATCACTCTGGGGCCGTTTCAGCAGCCCGGGGGCAGAAGCCACCACTTTCTGCGTGTGTTTTTGAGGGGAAAAGAGAGGAAAAGCGGGGAAATATGAAGCGGGGGGGAAGGTAACGCGCGGCGGGAAGCGGGAAGGGGCCGGGGGGGCCACGCGGGGGGCTCGGACCGGCCCGATCCGGCCCGAACGGTCCCAAAACTCCCGGGGAAAGGGGAAAAAAAAGAAAAAAAATATAGTAGAGAAAAAAAAATCGCTCCAGGAAACCCAACATGGATCGGGGGGCATTGGATGCCCTTCCCTGCGGGGACGAAGTTGGGCAAATTCCGCTGGAAAGAGGAAAACACGACAAAAAAAACGAAGGGATAAAAGTTGCGGGATCGTAGGGAGGCGGCGGCCTCGCCCCCTCCTCCTCCTCCCGGAGCCCACCCCAAAGTTCGGGGGGGCCGAGGCGAAGTTGGCGGCGGCCGGAGGGGGGAGCGAGCGGGCG